CTGCATGCCTGTAATTAGCTCCTCATTAGCACAGTTCTAATGTGAGGCAGGGCTGCTCTCCCCTTAGAGTGCTCCAACACAAGATTGCTTCAGGTAGCACTTGCATTGGAAATACACAGCAGGATGGACCTTGGCCAAGGACAAAGGTGTGTGCTGGCAAAGGGGCCTCGGGGGAGTTTCTGACCCTATTGCCTTCTGCTGGGATGGGCTGTGAAGCTGTTGGTGGGAATGCACCACGGAGGCCTTGCACAGTGCCCAGCTCAGCGATTTTTCCTTCAGAAACTGAGCTTATTGAGGAAAAAAAGGCATTTTCCTGAGCTAAAACAACCCAGCATAAAGCAGAGGGGAGTCAGGGCTCAGGAATCTTTGTTTCATCCCTGTCTTTGATCTCCGCCTCTGCTCCTGACCATCAGTTCGATCCCTCTGCTCTCCGTGCGCCTGTTTTCTCCCCTTCAGTTAGCAAGAATTACCACATCCATCAATCCTTATCCCACTAGTGAGGTTCCCCCCCCAACCTCCTGCTGTTTGGCTGTGAAGCCCCAACCCACCACAGCCTGTGGGGCCCGCCATGGGTACTGCTTTGCTAATGTCCTCGAGTTACTGATGGGGACTGGGATGGGGTGATGAGAGCGGAAACCCTGTCATCCTATGGGATGGCTGGACTGTGTGTGCTGTGCAATCTCCTATGTAACACACGGGTCCTGCGTGGTTGGGATGCGTGGGGACATCCAGAGCCCTTGGCATGCACTGGGTCGGATGCAGCAGTGGGTGTTTGGAGGGGGCAAAGGACATGGGCTGTCCCTGGGAGCTCTGTGAAGGCAGCATCCATCTGCTCCTGCTGGCACGGGATCAACACCAGGGGAGGGCTTGTCCGGGCAGGAAAGTGGAAAACAGATGGGAAGGAGCAGCAGTTGTTTTCCTGGAGAGCCGATTGCACAAGAGATCCCCGGAGCGGGACGCCAGCCCCTCGCCTCCATCCCGAACCCTCTCATGTGCTGCTTTGCTTCCCTTTAACACCCGAGGCTGCTTCTCCCCCCTTGAGCCCAGCTGTCAGCGGGACATCGCATGCGCCTGCCAGCCCCGCTGCAGTCAGGTGATGGCCCCAATGTCCTGGCTCTCCCCATGCCCTCATCTCCCAAACCTGAGCAGCAGCGAGGAGCAGGGACAAGTTCACCGCAGAGCCCGGAGCGGCCGCGCACGGCACCCAGGTGAGGTCCTGCACCAGCACCGGCCGCATGCGTGGTGCTGGATGGTGGGGAACCATCAGGAAGGCTCCAGCTTGTGGGAAGGGGCAGGAGCAGGGGGCAGCCGGCACGGGGAGGACACGGAGCAAACCTCTGGAGCAACCCGGGTCTGCAGCGGATGAGCCTGGCTCTCCATTGCACTCCTGGCATTGCCAGAGAGAGGGCTGGGCAGCAGAGGGGTGAATGGGGTTTGGTGTGAAAGGCACAAAATGGGCAGGGGGATAAGGAACCCTGTGCTCTTTCCCATGGGATGTGGTAGCACCACGTCCCCCTGTCCTGCGGTCCAAAGGCACATTCCCATATCCCGCTGCTGCCCCACTCTGTTGCCCAATGCCCGTGCCAGCCCCAGGGATGGGCAGGGGGCTGCCAGCACAAGACACGGCAGCTCCTGTCCCTTCCCATTGATCCTGCTGCTTCCCACAAAGCAGCCAAATAAATCCTTCAGTGCAGCATCTTTGCTTGCTTCTTCATGAGGGATGTGGGGTCCAGACATCCACTTTATGAACATCATCTTCTGTCAGGAAAGGAAACGTATGGTAAAGGAGGTGAGGGTTTCTGCCGGCAAGGATTTATGGCAGGATGCTTGGAGTTGGGTCCCTTGCCAAGAGCGGAGCTTTCTGCTCCCACCATGGTGCTGCCCTGCAACTATTCCTGACCCTGGCTGTGGCCAAGGGAGGAGCAGGCAAGGCAGGATTGAAGGTTCACTGAAGGTTGTAGCGTGTTTGCCTGCCCGTGCCATCAGCCCAAGGCTGCCTTGAGCCCTGTGCCGATGGGCGCTGAGCTGGAACCAGAAGGATTTTCCTTATGGCCAAGGAGTTTGGAGGGATTGAAGGGAAATGAGCAACTGGGCTTTGGCTTTGCAATGGGCACCCGCACCCTGCTCTTGGGCTGGGCTGGTGCTCGGTGCAGGAGGTGGGTGTGATTCCGGATGAGCTCCAGTACCAGGAGCTATGGATGCAGAGAGCTCTTCAGATTAGCAGCTATGTGCTTTTCTTGCCTTTTAATGGGATATGAAGAATAATTAGCTACCAACTTGGGATCCAACTTCACAGCAGGGTCCCTTGGGATGCTCCGGCGAGCCAGGTTCCCAGGGGAAAGGTTCTGACTGTGACATGTGAGACCAAGAACATGGTCCTGTGCTGACAGAGCGCTTGGTTTTCAAGGGATTTCGCTTTTAATATCCCAAAGTATTCCTGCTCAGAGGATCCCAGCTCCTCACACACCATTGTTGGTGATGCAGGTTGGGCTCAGGCCTGTGATGCACTGGAAGGGGATCTGTGCAATCTGACAGTGACCACAGGGATACCTGTTGAGGTATCTCAGGTTGCCTGGATATAGAAGGGAGTTCTCTATGTAGGGATGTATTCTCCTTCCCCAGTACTTTCTGAGTCCTCTTTATCTGCAGCGCCTTGGGTTGCTTTTTGCTTTTATTTCTTTTAGCTGGGGGGAAATAGTCAGGTTTTCCCTGGTTTTATTTGTGAGGATTCAGGTTTATTTGCAATTCTGTGTATTTTTAGTGGCGTAAATATCCTGCGGCACCCGTGATAACCTGAGCCGGCAGCAGGGATTTACTGCAGGGTGTCTCGTTTCGGAGGGGCTTGGGAAGTGTTTGCAGCAACATTTATCTGCTCTGAATGGACAAGAGGCTTTGGAACACGAACTAAACGTAAAGAACCCCTTTCTCTTACTGCAGAGGGTAGATGCTCTGAGTTTTGCTTATGGGGAACCAGTAAAAACCAGCTCAAACGGTGGGCTTTTAACCCCGACTCATCTGTGGGTGATGTCAGCTGAGTTCCAGCCTTGGACTCTTCCTGATGCAGCAAATACTGGATTGAATCCTGTTGCGCTCCAAAGAGGCGTTACAATAAATCCTCTTGCTTTTTGCTTTTTCTCCTTCTTTTTAACCCAAAGCCCAACAAAGCTGCAGCTTTCAAGGGAGAAATCCTCTTTCCAAGTTGCCGCAACTCCTCCAAATGCTAAATGCTTTGATTCACTTCCAGCGAGGCTCTGAAGAGCTGCGTTCTTCCCCGCCTCAAAAGCACTCGTTGAAGGGGCCAGGCTTGCTTCCCGTCCACACTGGTAATTGTGGAGCAGCAATTCCTCTCCAACGTGTTTGGTGATGGAACAATAGAAAACTGGGGGGAGAAGGGGAATAAAAGACCACCTCGGGGAAGGTAAAGGAGCTGCTCTGCGTGGTTTGGAGGTAGGAGGGTTTCTTCCTCCCCTTCTCTGCCTTCATCCCACTCCTGCAGGTGGAAACAAAGCAGGGCCCAGCACCGGGTGCTTGTGTGCTCCGTGTTTTAATCGAGCTTAAAGGGGAAATTGAAGCAGCAGAGCTTTGGTTCTTTGCTGCAGGAGGATGAATCCGCTGCGTGGCAATGGTTAAAGCTGGCTCTGGAGTACAGCCTGAGCTTCCCAGTGCCACAGGGAACTGGGAGCATCCCGGTGGTGCGGAACACCAGGGTTATGCCTGGGGTGAGCAGGGAGATGCCGTCACCCACTGCTGCTCGGTGCCTCCTGGTTGAGGCAGGGTGAATGTGCTGCCCTGGCCCCAGCAAGGCTTGGGGTTGGCAGAGCTGGTGTTGCTCCCCCAGCAACACAGCCCGGAGGCTTTGCTACACAGAAATGGATCTTACAGAGCCGTTATTATCTACTGCACTGGGGTTTTGCTAGCAAAGGTAGGATGCGAAGCTCCCCAACAGGCAGACCAGGCTCTGCACACCCCTTTTTGAGGGCTGCAGGAACAGGGACATCCTCAGAAGGGTGATTTTAGTGGGGTTTTACCAGTCCCTTTCATTTGGGGTCTGGAGTGTCTGCCTCTGATTTTACTGCCTCGATGGTATGAAGCCAGTCTGGCTTCTCCTGCCTGATGTCCACCAGAGCAAGAGCCATCCATGGGCTTCTTGTAAAGCACAAAGGGAAGGAGTTGGTGGTGCTGGGTGCTTGCAAGGGAAACCCGGGTGCTGCTGCTGAGGCAGTCGGCACAGGTTTGGTCCATGCTTTTCTTACCTGAGTGGTTCAGAGCCAGGACTCATTGCTGTCAAAATCAAGCAGGAATTGTGAATGGAGCCATTGCTGGATGCTCCTTTGGGCTATAACCGAGAGCAGGGCTGGAGAGCCCGGGGGAGCCAGCGCTTGGGTGCTGGTTTAACACATCCTCATGTATTAACAGGGTGCAGGAGCCGCTCCTGCTAATGCACGGGTGTTAAATGGCAGGGATTGTCCCAAACTGAGGTTTCTTTAGAAGGTGCAGAAACTGCTGCTAACCCCCCCCAAGCAGTGCTAAGGCGCAAAGGGACTGCCCAGGGCCATGGGCTTTATTAATAAACCTCCTTCACAAGGAATGTTCTAGCCTGGGAAAGACTGAGGCCATCATTAACACTATCTCGTAAGGCAAACTGGGGCTGTTTCACAGCAAGGGGTGTCATTAATACAGCGTATTAATAACCTGACATTACCAGTGCGAGGAATGCCCTGCTCCAGCTGCTTTGACAAGGCCACCTCATTAACTTGATAGCTCCTCTTGTCATTCCCCTCTGTTTCTTTTTCTCCCAGGAGATCTAAATCGGGTCTTTTCCAGACTTCCAGGCTGCGGCTCCCTGCCAGCCTCTGGGCACCTAAAGCCCTCAAAGCCTGGCTGTGCACCCAGTGCAGCACAAACCCAGGCTCAGCTCCATGGACAGAGGCTTCACGGTTGCTTATCCTCTTCCTCACGCTCCCCAATACCCTCTTTTGCAGTGAGAACCGGGAGTGAAGTGATCCAGTGCTGTGTGCTCCTGACCCCCCTTTGGTGCTGGCCCCCCACTGCCTTTCAGCCAGCACCATGGTGGGGCAGAGCCCCCCCTGTGAGAGCAGCAGCGCCGTGCTCCTGGAGCCCTTCGTCCATCAGGTCGGCGGCCACATGAGCATGATGAAGTACGACGAGCACACGATCTGCAAGCCCTTGGTCTCGCAGGAACTGAGCTTCTACGAGTCGCTGCCCTTGGCCATGAGGCAGTTCACCCCCCAGTACAAAGGTAAGGGGAGATGGGGTCAGTCCTGATGCTGGGACAAGGGGGCTGGTGGTACCGGCTGGCTCAGTTTGAGCTGTGGAGCCCCATCACTTGTGGAGGGTTTGCTGAGCAAGGATGCTTCCTGCATGGAAACGTGCACAGGGGCAGGTCTGTGAGACCAGGGGGGTTTCCTGCATCTCTGTGGCTGGATGGGGACTCTCTGATGTCTAATAAGGGTTCTGTGCTGGCTGAGGGAGATCCCCCACCTCTGCCCATCCTCTTGCTGCCATGGTCAGCAATGGGTAACACAGGGGACTCCTGTTACGTCAAATCAGGCTGAAATTGGCCTGTCCTTAGGAGGACAGTTGTGAAAAGGTGGATGCTGAAAGGGTGATCGTGGTCCCCTCTGGAGCCCAGAGCCTGGGCAGTGCAGGAGCAGGACAGAGAGGGTGAGCACAGAACAAGGGGCAGGAATAGGATGAGGATTTTGCATGTCGTGGCATCTGATAAGTTGGTCTGATGGGATGTGAATGGTGGCAGTGGATGGGTGCAGGAAAGTACGTTCCCAGGATCTGACACATTATGTGCTCTGCTTGAAATCAGCATCCCTGGATGAACCAGAGGTACAGACCACTTAGTTCCCAAAAATCAGATCTGGACACTTGGCCATGAGTGAGACCTTCCCAGGACAGGGAAGAGCCTCCCGGGCTTTGTGCCCCCATCACTTCCTGGGGTCCTCTTCAAACACCTCCTCCTTGCCCTGCACCATTTTCCGGCTGTACTGAGCAGCAGCACTTGCAGTGTCCTCCTCCTTGCCTGCCTTGTCCCTCACTTGGTTCTGCTTTTACTGTGCTGCTCATACAGCTCCTGAGCATGGGTTTTTGTGAGCTCAGCTGACACATAAAGACTTCAAATCCATCTCCTGGTCCTTCAGCGCTACAGAGGAGAGCCCCCAGCATCAGCTGCGGTTTTGATGCGCTTCCAGTTCCACCTCTGCCTTTCCCACAAACGCCGGGGCCTTTGCAGATTTATGGGGCAACATTAAAAAGATGCTCAAGAAAACAGCCTTCCTCTAAGCCATTTGCTTTGGCAGGCGCAGGGTTCTGTGCTGCAGAGCTGGGCCCTGCTCTGTCTCACTAATAAAGACGTTGAGCAGTCCCAGCTTACCGGTTCAGGTGGCTTTTAATCCTTTCTTGTCTTCTTTTCCTCTTCTGTTGCAAAGCCCGGTGAGTTCTGTGACAAAGGATAATTAAATAGCAATTCCTTTCCAATTTGCCATTGGGCCCATGCTTTGTTTTACTCTTTTCTGCTTATAACAGTCCTGGCCTGAATGCCACTCATTCAGAGGTGGTAATGGGGGGGATGAGCATCAGGGGGAACAATCCTGAGGTCTTCACGAGCGTGGTTCACACGTGTCCATGTTGCTCACCTCTATTCTTAGGCTGCAGGGCCAGGACCATTATGTAATGCCGACAGTATGTGCGGTGTTGATCAAATGTCACCATTCAAATCTAACACCGGGTCAGCTGCTTAAAGAATGCTTAACCGCTTGCTTAACCGCTTCAGGCGCTTTGGTGACCTTGGGACCAACTTTTCCCCCACCAGACCCTTGCAAAGCGCTGCCTGCCCCGAGCCGAGCTCGCAGGGGGATGCTGGGCTTCTTTCCAAGCCCGTTCTGCTCAGGGTCCTGCTGCACGTGGCAGTGAATAAAGGCACTTGTGTGGTCAAAGAACAAACCAGTGCTGTAGAGCTACACAGCAACGTGCTCCTGAGGATCCCTTGGATGCCATGGGCACGGTGACAGCACCCGCAAATACCCATTGGGTGCCACACTGGGGCTGGACAGGAGCAGGTCTGAGGTTCTGGTGACAGTAAAAGGCCAGCAAAGCCAAGCACTGAACGCACCTTTCCTTCCAGATAAGTGTTGTCTCATTGCAGTGAAAGAGAAGGTCAGTAGCCATGGCTTGGGTTGCACTCACAGGTCACTTGCAGGACACATGCAAATCCCATATGGAAGCCCACCAGGAAACAGGAGTAGGCTGAAACACAGGTATCTGAAGACTGTTTGGCTGGAAGGAGGGAGAGGATCCCATTCCCTTGCCGTTGAACTGTTCACATTTGCCTTTGAAAATCTCCCCATTAACTTTCGTATGAATGTAAGATACTCCAAAACTCTTAGTTTTATGCTATAGATAACGGTTTTAGGGCCAGATTATCAGCACTATGTAAATCAGCACAGCTCCATTGACTTGCAGGTCTGTAACTGGGACAGTTGTGAAGGTTCCAGGCTGCTATCGCGCCGTAGCAGAGGCACAGAGCTAGATTTGGAATCGAGGGCTTCATTTGCCTTGCTTTGATTTAAGTGGCTTTTTTCCCTGCCTCCCTCCCCTGGAAATCCGAAGCAGGCATCCGAGCTGGTAGGAATTGCACTTGCTCTCAGTTATCTGTAATACGGATCTTTTACAAATGGGACTCAGAGGAAGGGCTGGTGGGGAGAAGGTTTGAGCCTTAAGGATGACAGAGCTCTGTCAGTGGACTGATATAGCTAAAATACCTTAGCTAAGGTTTCCAGCCCCCCCGTTCCATTGGCAGAGCAGCCTCTGGATATTCCTGCCCCATTTTAGTGCTAAATTAGCCAATGTAACCAAGCCTGCTGTGGCACATGTTCAGATTGATGCTGATTTTAGGGCAAAAGGGAACAGAAATGGTTGTGGTACCTAAACAGAGGTATGGAGGGCATGAGCATCCCAATATAGCCGGAGCTGCAGGGTTAGGGGGTGCAGGACCAGGCAGGGATGAGCACCCCGAGTCTACCAGTGCAACAGAAAGCAACAGAGGGCAAACCCTTCTGTCTGTGTTTGCTTACTGTAATCTCGCTTTGAATGGGGAGAAAGGACTTTGCATATTTATTTGCTTCAGCAACTTAGCTGGGGAGAACTGAGCTCCTGTGTTTGCTCAGCTGCTGAAACGCATCTCCCCGCAGTGCCTGGCAGACCAAGCGAGGATGCCCTGGGGACAGTTGGCTAAAACCCAGCTCCATGCATTGCTAACAGGGTTCTTTCCAGTGATGAGCTTTGCTGGTCCGACCGCCCTGCCTGTCCTCTTTTGGATCTACCTTCCTGCAGCGAGACTTGAAAGCAGCAGGGTACGACTCATGCGCTGGCATCCCCCCGAGCCCTAAAGGGCTGCTCTAAAAGCACCTCTGCTGCCTTGAGAGGCTCAGACAGCCCTGGCAGAGCAGCAGCAGGAGCGGGGCTGCAGTTATCAGCCTTTCCCAGAAAGGTCAGAGCACTTAGTGCGAGCCACGGCCATTCCTGCTCTGTCATCCGAGATGTGGAGCTGTCCCCATGGACATGGCTGTCCCCATGGCTGGGCTAAATATGCAGGATGGCATTTGAGCCCTGCGATGCCTGATGGAGTCAGGGAAAATTACACTGCTAAAACACACCGCGGTGTTTTAAGCACTCAGGATGTAAAGTAGTAATCCCCAATCGCGTCACGCTCCCCTCATGCATGAAGGCACACCAGGCATGTAAGGGTCTGGTCCCCATCGCTGGCTGTTGGGGTGCTGGTCCTTGGTGCTTGGGCAAGGACATGACCATGACAATGTATGGGCATCAATCACATATGCAGGCAGTGCTGCCAGCCCATGCACATGCCTCTGCCTTTGCTCCTGGGGGCTCTCCAATTAAAGGAAGCAGTTGGCATGGTGTTTGTCTTTGGAAAATTCCTTCTCCCCTACCCTCCCTTTGCTACCTGCCAATGAGAAGCATTTCCAACCTTGCCCTGTGAGACTTAAATCCCTTGTCATAAATAAGCCAGGAGCTCCCAGTCCAGCGGGGGGGTGTGGGGTGTGTGTGTCTTTGCTGGGCCACTTGTGACATAGCAGAGCCTGGAGGGATGGAGGACAAAAGAACATGATGTTCAGAGGAGACAGGTTTCAAGCCAAGCCTTGAGAGCAGGGAACATTAGAAAAGCCTGTGGCTGTTTTCCAGGGTCTTGGATTAATGGTGTTTATTGGGCCTCAAATCAGAGTGGGATCGGTGTGAGAGGCCACTAAAGAACACACCAGCCCTCTTGGGAAGGCTGGACCCCTGGCGCTGGTGCAGGTGATGGAGGAGCCCCTATGGTAACCCCGTTCCCATTTGTTTTCCTCCTTTTTGTCCAGGCATCGTCTCCGTGCACCTCAAGAAGGACAGCCTGGGGAACGTGACGCTCATCGCCAGCCCCAGCCTGGACAATGCCACCGGTGACCCTGCCGTGACGCTATGGCACAAATGCAAGTGGGCTGCCAGCACCGGCACGGGCGGCGAGCGCGCCTTCGGCACCTGGAGCCACACGCAGGTCACCAAGACCTTCAAAGACAGGTGAGGCTCTGCCATGGGTGGGATGCTCCCTGCAGGCCCCCTCTGGGCCTTGCCTGGGGTGGTTTTGGTGGCACAAGGGCTGCTTTAAGGCAAAGGGAGCAAAAGCAGTGCCCAGCCTGGTGGCTTCGTGGTTCCTCTCTCCCCTGCTTGTGGACAGAGCGGGGCAGATGTGGCTATCACTGGGATGCTGTTGCTCAAAGATGTGCCTCGAACTCTGCTTTAAACCTGTTTCCTTGGAGCACAGCGTGCTCCAGAAGGAAGAGAGGCCCCAGGTGAAAAACCACCAAGCATGCAGCACATCATGTAACACCCTTGTGCTGGTAACAGCCACATAGCGACTGCACAGTTAAGGGGGGCATCATGGTGCCTGCATGCATGTCGTTGGCACAGGCTTTCTGCAAGGCATCTTTCACCCCAAAGAGAAAAGACCTGTGTCAGCTGTGTCTGAAGGGTGCAGAATTGCTACCATGAAACCCCTGTCCTCAGTGTGATGGGTTTTGGATGATGAAACCAAGGAATGACCCTCCAGGGAGAACAGATCCCATTGTTCCCTCCCCACCCTCCTTAAAGCCAGCCCCTTTAAACTGGGAATCATTCCTAGTGTGGGACACCTTGCCCGTGTAGTGCCCATTCACCCAGATCAACAGAGCTATGCACGGTGCTGCTCACAGGAGCCAAGCACACTGAGACTATAATGAAAGAAAATACTGGCACCCAGCAATAACTGCATCTCTGAGAATCACTTTTACAGAGTAACAAAGGCTCTCTGCAGGTTGGACATGATCAATGCATTTCCTTTGAGAGTCCCCGAAAATTCACCTTATCGAGTTGGATGCTCTATAAAAGAGGAAGAGAGGAAATATTCCCCTCTGGAGCTTACGAACCCAATGTGTTCTTTTGTGTGTGTTGTCTAGCTGCCCAGGGAAGAGGCTGTTGAGGACAGACCTTCAGTACTGCACAGATTCGCTTCTGGAAGATGCAAATGGAAACCAGCCAGAAAGAAAGAGCTACAACCCCTGGGGACTGCACTGTCACCGGCAGCACCTGAACCGCATGTCCTCCAAGCACAACGAGAACAAACTGCATCGTATCCTTTCTCCCCTCTCCCCTCCAGCGTGGTCTTGGCAAGAAGATGTTTTACCAGGGCTCTGCATCCCTCCTCGGCCCAGTCTCTGGGAGGATACAGAAGAGAGGTGCTGGAAGTTGTGATAAGAATAAAACCCCCACTTGCCATGAAGGGTATTCAGCATAAGTGAAGGATCCCCTTGGCGTACATTGAAAACCACAACTATGTAAGAATTAGCAGCTGCCTCACCTTTTATTTTCCTATTACACTTCATTACCCAGCAGTCATGTGAGTAATAGAGTTTAACAGCTCCCCCCACACCCACAGGGGGAGCGCAGCACTGAGGTGAGGTGTCAGCTCCACAGCCCAGGGCTATGGTGTCACTAGAGAATGGAGCTGTTGGGGCTTTAATTGGTAGGACTGTACTACAGTAAATTAACTACAATTGGCAGCAAGGGGCCTATAGCAAAGACATGTTGGTAAAATGGGCTCAGAAAGTCTCATTACAGTTGTGAGCTATTATGGAGAGCGTCAGCAGTTGCTCTGATTTAAAACCTCTTTCAATTAGAATTTGAAAGTATTTGGTTTCCCTTAACTCATGCTCAGAGTTCCTGTTGCTTGAAAACGTGGTATCAAAATACAACTATCCCTGCATCCTGGACTTAAAGATGGGAACGCGGCAGCATGGCGATGATGCCTCAGAGGAGAAGAAAGCCCGGCACATCAAGAAGTGTGAACAAAGCACCTCTGCATCTCTGGGTGTTCGCATCTGTGGGATGCAGGTAAGGCCTTTTTGGTGTTTGCTTGGCACACGGCTTGAAAGCAAGCTGGGAAACTAAAGGGACTCTTTGTTGGTGTAAAGTGAAGCAGTTTAATTCTTGCCCTACACCAAATACAGGCTGTGAGAATTGACCACTCATTGTGTGTCCTGTCCTCAAACGGGAGGGGATGCTTAGGGAAGAGAACAGGACATGGTACACGCAGGGTAACCCTTTCCCCATTCCCCTTTGACTACTGGAGACTTCATAAGCAGCAGATGGATAAGCACCACCCCGCACCACTGCCACCAGTAGGAGCAGCTGGAACCAGTTTACCCCAGCTGAGAATCTGCCTGTACATGAACAGATTCCCCTCTCATGCTTCTCTCTTGGCTGCGGCACAAAGAACAAAAACAAAAGAGCATTCCATTGCCCCGCTCCTGCCTTGGCAGAGCTGCCTCCTGCTGCTGCAAGAGCCAAGGGTTGTTTTGTGCTAAATCCTACAGCCCCTGGCGCTCAGAATCCCCACCCTGCCTCTAGAAACCCAAACCACGCGTTCGCTTCACCCGTGCTTCTCAAGCACTGTTCTGCTGTGCCTGAAGGGTAATTATGAGCCTGGTGATTACAGAGCACACACATAGCAGGGAAAACACTGGGTGGCAAAACCCATGTCCCCTCCTGGTCTGTGACACGCTTCTGTTGAGCAGATTACCCTTCAAATTACATGTGGCGTGTGAACTCATTGGGTATTCACTGCCTCGCTTCTTACTCAGTGTTACCAGAGCCTCACATACAAATCTCTGCCTACATCTTGTCTCTCTGTGTTTAAGAAAGCAAGATTATTGCTACCCAGGCGTTGCATACTGGGGAAGGTACAAAGCTGAGGTATCCCCATACTGCTGCAAACTCCTACCAGAGCCAGGGGGAAATGCTATAAATCACTAGTGGCACGGCTCTGATTTAGTGCTATTGGGGTTTCACAAAGGGGTAATTTATAGCAGTGCAACAAGAATCTGCACTAGTGGTTTAAATGGAATAGTTTAAATCTCCAGGAAAGACAGGAGGTGGGATGCAGTGAGGAGCCTGCTGGTACATTGCCAGCATCGCTACATAGTGCCAGGCTGCAGAGCAGCTACATCCTGTTCTTCTGCTTGGGGCTGAGCTTTTTAGACATAGACAAAGTCTAGAGCTTTGGGAAAACTTAACAACTCAATTCGGGCTTTTGCTCTCCTTCCTCAAGGTTTACCAAGCGGACACTGGCCATTTTCTCTGCAAAGACAAGTATTATGGGAGGAAACTCTCACCGGAGGGATTCAGGCAAACCCTGCGCCAGTTCCTGTGCAACGGCAACCACCTCCGCATGGATCTCCTGGAGCCCATCATCCTGCGGCTCAAAGCTCTGCTCTCCGTCATCAGGAAGCAAAGCTCTTACAGGTTCTACTCCAGCTCACTTCTCATCATTTACGATGGACAGGAGCCCAAGGAGAACACAGCACCCTTGGATAACCACCTTCACTTCCAAAGAACAAACTGCACCGCCTCACACGGCACTCATCACTCCAGAGTTGACGTGCGGATGATAGACTTTGCCCACACCACATTTAAAGGCTCCAAGTGCAATCACACCACTTACGATGGGCCAGACCACGGCTATATTTTTGGCTTGGAGAATCTCATCAAGATCCTTCAGAACATCTCAGAAGGAAAATGAGAAATTGCCATGTGAAATAGCCTGGATTGCCAAGTGACCCATAGCCCTGAGAAGTTCCGCGCTGGGTCAGTTGTATGGGACCCTCTGCTGCTGGACCTCATGTGCACGTTTGGAATGAGGGCACGGGCAGCTTGCTAGGAAAGTGCAAAAAGCTCTTAGGTGCCATGAATGAACTGAAGCGTAAAAAAGCAAAGAGCTGAAAGAATGTTCTGCCTGCAATCAATCACAAGATTTATTTTCCCTTCTTGTTTTACTGCTGTCCTTGATTTATTTGTGAGCCAAAAGCAAGCATTACTTGAAAGAGTCTTAATGATAAAATAGGACCTGCTCACCTCTACACTCAAGAAGCCAAACGGGGTGAGGACATACTGTGGGCTTGAGTGAGACTATTAGAATGAGCTGGGGGGTGTGAGCAGGCTGCAGCATCACCTCCAGCTCCTGCTCAACACACAAGGGAGACAAAACCAGCCCCCAACACACAGTGCATGTACCCAGTGAATGCTGGGGCTGAAACACAGACCTATGAGATGCTGCAGAGGTTCTGAGCTGGGGACCTCGACCAAGAACTGGACCTCGCAAAGGTTTAATATCCCTGTGGGATTCTATCAGAGCACATTGCAGGAACCTTCTAAGCAAGGGGCTGGAATGCAATGATTCTGTCACAAAGAACATTCACATCGAGGTATTTCTGCTTAAAACAAGTGTGAGATTGAGTCAGGGACTAGCCATTAAAGGTCACCTAGAAATTCTTTGATACAAGTATTGTGTGTGTTTGAAGGAGACAATAGCAAGACTGAAAATCATGTTTACAGCTTTTGTGGACAGATTTTATTATTACGGAACAAACAGAATTCCTTCCTGCGTGGTGTGGGAGACCTGCAAGAGAAATCCTTCCACAAGGAACAGCGCTACAGAAGCCCCTTACTGGGGAGTGGGGATATAAGTAAAACATGAATAAAATCATCAAAGTAACTCCCATTTGTTGTCCATCTCTTTCACTTCTACAGCATCCTTGCGTTACGTGACCTTTGTTTTAGGGCTGCGTGTTTTGACCATAGGTCTTAAGGGGACACTTTCACTTGTATTTTACTGCATACAGCCAAATTGCTACACTTTATAGCTGGAAAATCTACATCATTTGGCCCTGTTGTGCCTTTTATTCGGCCTCAGGTCCATCTGGGAAGACCTTGTTATTTACTGCACGCTGTTCACACTGCTGCCTGTTTCTCACTCATAGAGACGACTATAATAAAACCCCACATTTGGGCTCTGCTTCAGCAGCGAAAGGGTTGAGTTGTCGATGTCCTGGCTCACAGGCATGCACATGGGCTGTGACCAGTGCTAACTGTAACCGGTCACAGCTTTGCTGGTGGGGTTTAGCCAGACCCACCTCAGCATCCGCATGCTCTGAGCCTCTCGTGGGATGCACGCACCGGGACATCAACTCTGGGAGTGGGGAAGGATGAATCAGGGTGCAAGCATGACACCAGCAGCCAGACCTGGTGTCAGTGGGGCAAACCCCCTGCCTTGGCTCCTGGAAAGGAAACAGCAATCGAGGAAGGACAAAGGGTAACGAGGTGAACAGGGGAGATTTAGGTTGGATATAAGGAAGCTGTTTCCTGTGAGGGTGCTGAGGCGCTGGCACAGGGTGCCCAGAGAAGCTGTGGCTGCCCCATCCCTGGCAGTGCTCAAGGCCAGGTTGGACACAGGGGCTTGGAGCAAGCTGCTCCAGTGGAAGGGGTCCCTGCATGGAGCTGGATGAGCTTTAAGCTCCCTTCAACCCAAACCAGTCCGGGATCCTATGATCCCATCTGTTGCTTCAGCAGCGATAGGAGGCCTCCCGCTCCCTTTTCCCCCTTACACACCAGCACATCAGCAAGCGCCGTCCCGGGCTGGATCCCTGTGGCAAGGGACAGCCCGAATCCAGGCTGCGATCGCTGCCTCCGGACACACGGAGCTGCGGGCCCCCGGAGCGCTGGCGGCAGCAGCGCAATGGGCACCCCCGAGCCCGTGCTTTGCAGTGGGACCCGTCCCGTCCCGTCCCATCCGCGCCCGTTCCCCGCCGCGCTGCGCCTGCGCGCCCCCGCCGGGCCCGTCTCGGCCGCCGTAGGGCCACGTGAGGCGCGATGGCCGCCAGCCGGTACCGGCGGTTCCTGAAGCTGTGCGAGGAGTGGCCGGTGGAGGACACGAAGCGGCAGCGGGACCTGGGCGCGTTCCTGCGGCAGCGCGTGGCGCAGGCCTTCCGCGAGGGCGAGAACACGCAGGTGACAGCGGCGGTGACAGCGGCAGCGGCGGCGGCCTCCTCGGGGGTAGCGGGGGCGAGGCGGGGCCTGGGCCGCGCAGGCGCCTCTGACGTTTAGCGGCTTCTGTGAGGCGCAAAGCGGAGGTCGGGTTGAAGGGAGGTTAAAGCTCCTCCAGCTCCAACCCCTGCCTCGGGCAGGGACCCCTTCCACTGGAGCAGCTTGCTCCAAGCCCCTGTGTCCAACCTGGCCTTGAGCACTGCCGGGGATGGGGCAGCCACAGCTTCTCTGGGCACCCTGTGCCAGCGCCTCAGCACCCTCACAGGGAAGAGCTTCTGCCTAAGAGCTCAGCTCAGTCTCCCCTCGGGCAGGTTCAAGCCATTCCCCTTGGCCTGTCCCTACAGGCCCTTGTCCCAAGCCCCTCTCCAGCTTTCCTGCAGCCCCTTTAGGCACTGGAGCTGCTCTAAGGTCTCCCCTTCAGGAGCCTTCTCTTCTCCAGGCTGCCCCAGCCCAGCTCTCTCAGCCTGGCTCCAGAGCAGAGCTGCTCCAGCCCTCGCAGCATCTCCATGGCCTCCTCTGGCCTTGCTCCAACACTTAAGAGAAGCTGTGATTCATACCCGGTTCTTCCCCCCCCGTGCACTGTGTGCTTTGGGGAACCCCTCTCCTGTGCTTGTGGCACTGGGGAAGAAAGCACCGTGCTTTTGTCTGTGCTGGAATTGAGTTGTGTGTTCTGCTCACCGTGATGCTAGTGCGGTGCGGTGTGAGTACATAGTGAACTGCGGCGCTGCCTGGCATTGTTAGGATGCAGGAGTTGTAAAATTGGATCCCAGCTACAGTGTAATTGTATTGGAGTTTAGGCTTTGGTGCTGAAATAAATCAGACAAGTCAATGCTTGACTTGGGCTGCAGCCCTTTAGAGGCATGCAGGTGTTGCTGTGCAGTGTAAAAGTGCCTTTTCTCAGCATAAAGACATTCCAGATACGTGTTTTCTACTTCAGGGACCATTATAGGTACCTAATTCTCTATTGGTCACCAGAATAGTCTGCAGCAGACATTTCGGAGAGTGCTTATTGCTTTCCTATGTGCTCAGGACAGCTGAATGTGCTGCACCAATTGGCTAAAAGGTTCCAAAGCTGCCACTCGTCTTGAAAATCTAAATTGATGCCTGCAGCACTGATGTCTATTTGTATGTATAAAGTCTTAATATAGCTAAGGAAATGTACTGGCAGACAGCAGGAGGAATGTCTGAGAGAAGAACTGAAACCATAAAGGATACTTAATCAGGGTAATGTCTGCTTTATTCATGTGGAATAAGATTTGCTGTTTGTACAGGGTGGGGGAATGCTGTTTCTGCTGCTCATTTAATAGCTGTTGCTGCTGTCATTACTAAAACATTAGCAGGGTCATTTGAGATGTAAGTGCAAGATAGGTTAAGCTGAAGATGATCTTTGTTGTGATGGTGCTTACTCTTGCCTGTCTGCCCATGTATCCTCTCCCTCCTGAATAAGGAGAGCCTTGCCTTAGTCCTATAGCTTGTGTGGAGGAGGCCCTGCACTGAACCTGACTCAGTGTCTCAAGGACAGACGAGCCTTGTCATTGTATCCTGACGTGCTTCTGTTGATGCTATTCCTGTGCATGTATCCGTTTGAATCATTTATGTTTGATGTCACTGGGCAGCAATGCAGTGTTCTAGTCAAGTTGGCCCCCACTGTAAAGCAGAAAACCAAGCTGACGTGCCAGCCATGCTGCTAACTCGATGGCTCTGCAAGGCAGAGGCACCTGGCAGAGGGACCTAGAAGAGGTTTAGTTATTAGCAAGATCTTTCCAACCTACTAAACCGAAATAGAAATCCATTTACCCTTCACAAGCTGTGCAGTGTCTTTCATGCTGCTTTTCACTAATCAGTTATAAGTAGTTTTTGCCTGTGCCGGGATTTTCTACCTTCATCCTGGTATGTGATTCTAGTTGATGCTTTAGAATCAAGCAGGAGGCAAAACTGGCCTTTGAGCAAGAAGTCTTGCAGATTTCACACCACTATAGATGTGAGAAAGCTGCCCAGCAGTATTCTCATTAACTGTATTCAGGGTTGATCTGTCAAACCTTTTTGAGCAGAGTTTAAGGTTCATTCTGGAAATCACACGCCTCTTTGTTCACCGACCTGGTGAGAAGTAGAGGAGAAAGAAAACGATCTGCATTCTGGAGCAGCACAGTAGGGGTTGCCAGCATCCTACATTGCACTGGGAAGTCACCAAAGGCACTCCTTGACTGTCCTTCTCACACGTCCTGAAACGAGGTGGGTTTTGCTATGGAGGTTTAAAGTAACACTCATGTAATACTTTCGTGCCTTTCCAGATTGCTGACCCTGAGAACTGCGACCAAATGTATGAGAGCTTAGTCAGAATCCACACCAACTACTACAAAAATAAGGTGAGCTTTGGCATTCGCCATCATTCCTCTCTTAGGGGATGTATCACCACGCCCCTCTGGTGTTGGCTGCCTCATCCCAGCAGGATTTCTGGGAATGTCAGACAAATGAGCAGTTGGGTGGATGCAGCATGACCTGATGCCTTTGGTCCCTCCAGGGAGGCTGCAGACATCTTGGCCTCTGTGGCATGTATGGACAGTTCTTGGTATGGATGAACAGAATTCCTAGACCTCGACTGACACTGAGCTCAGATTGTAGCCTATGGTGACTTTTTTTAGCTCTTTTAATGCACTACAAGTAACATCCTTTTCTTTCTCTCTCCTTCTCTTACCTACTTGCTCCTTGTGCAGTATCCACGCCTGAGAGACACAAACTTCACAGGAGTGACAGTAGAAGATTGCAAAATGATACTATCAACAGGTACTGACACTGTGCTTGATCTGAGAATAAGTCAGTGCAGGAGATAAAGTGCATTCTAGTCTTTGTAGTGTTCACTCCTACTGAACACCTGTGACTAAAGGGCAGAATGGGACTGCGTGCAAGTATATGAGGATGTTTAATGAGGAGTAAGTTCGGGAGTAATTGAGGAGGTCTTAGTAACCTGTCAGGGTGAAAAGTCAGTTGTAGTTTGCAAGGGCTCTTTGACATCAGATTGCAGGAACTGTGTGAAAGGTAGGCACGTTCAATGTGTCATTCCAAACTGTAGCTTGGCTTCTGTTTCACCATGTTCAAGTTCCCTTCAGTGGTTTTTTGTATTAGACTTTGAAAGAAAACAGAGTACCATGAG